AGATATATTGAATTTTTCAAGTTGAAACTTCATAGCTGTTCTGTTTGGTTTTCTTGCAAATCACATTGATGCTCCTTGGAGAAAAAGGGCAATAGGACTTAGGTTGTTGTCTTGGTATCATCTGCTGGCCTGCCTTTGAATTGTCTATTGTCTTGAGTTTGTTTTATTGTTAAAGTTAAAAAGTATGTTTGCTTGTAATTTGCCATAACATATTTTAATATTGGAAATCTCTTGTAGACCAGTGGTTCTCAACTTTCCTAATGCTGCGACCCTTTAATACAGTTCCTCATGTTATGGTGACCCCTAACCATAAAATTATTTTCGTTGCTACTTCATAACTGTAACTTTGCTACTGTTATGAATCGTAATGTAAATATCTAATATGCAGGATGTATTTCGGCCACCCCTGTGAAAAGGTCGTTTGATCCCCAAAGGGGTCACAGCCCACAGGTTGAGAACTGCTGTTGTAGACTTTAATATTCAGATGGAAGGGCTGGGCAGGGTGCTCACACCTGTAATCCTACCACTCTGGGAAGCCAAGGAGGGTAGATTGCCCTGAGCTCACAGGTTCGAGACCAGCCTGAGGAAGAATGAGACCCTGTCTCTAACAATAGCCAGGCGTTGTGATAGGTCCCTGTAGTCCCAGCTACTTGGGAGGCTGAGGCAAGAGAATCACTTGAGCCCAAGAGTTTGAAGTTGTTGTGAGCTATGACGCCACGGCACTTTACTGAGAGCAACATAGTGGAACTCTTTCTCAAAATAAATAAATAAATAAATAAATAAATAAAATTAAGATTGAGGTTAAAAAGTTTTATACATGTCTGTCTGTATATCTTTAAAAAGAGTTCCAAGCTGATCTGAAGCCAAATGATTTTTCTATTCATTAATAATCTGTGCCAGATTATCTCTATTTTTTATTTTATTTTATTTTTATTTATTTATTTATATTTTATTTTTTGAGACAAGCCCAGGTTGGAAAGTGGTGGCTGTGCACATGTGGGATAATAGCTCACTGCAGCCTTGAACTCCTGGCCTCAAGTGATCTCCATTTTTAGCCTCTTGAGTAACTGGGACTACAGGCACAAGCCACTGCTCATCTCTCTATTATGACATGCTAAGAAAACAATATCTGATAGATCCTCCCATTCACCTTATTTAAACAAATATTTATTCTGTACCTTAGCAAATGTTTCTGTCTCTTATTACAAAAATACATTACAAACATGTATATTCTTTCTCTACAGGACAATCCTTTATACACAGACTGTCGGACTTGAAATCTTCCCTTTTTTACTGCATTCGGTTGACTTAACAGGGTTTCAAGAACAGCATTCATAAATTTCCAGGTATGAGAAATTTTAATTCTTGATATTATGTCTCATCTAAATACATAGATTAAAAGTAGAATTTTGTAATTATAGGTTAGCTATATCAGAGAATAGATTTATTGCTTAAAAATTCATTTTGTAAAACATTCAGCATTCTCATCTTTTCGGCCAGGTCTCCTTATTTACTCATTGATAAATTTTTTCTCAATGATATCTTTTTTTTTTTTTTTGATACAGAGTTTCATGTTGCCCTCAGTAGAGTGCCCTGGCATCATACCTCACAGCAAATACCTCATAGCAACCTCCAACTCTTGGGCTTAAGCGATTCTCTTGCCTCAGCCTCCAAGTATCTGGGACTACAGGCACCTGCTACAACCCTGGCTATTTTTTTATTGCAGTTGTTTAGCTGGCCCCAGGCTGAGTTTGAACCTACCACCCTCGGTGTATGTGGCCGGCGCCGTAACCACTGTGCTACAGATGCCGAGCCCTTTCTTTTTTTTTTTTTTTCTTTTTTAGAGACAGAGTTTCACTTTGTTGCCCTAGGTAGAGTGCTGTGGTGTCACAGCTCACAACAACCTCCAACTTCTGGGCATAGGTGATTCTCTTGCCTCAGCCTCCCGAGTAGCTGGGACTACAGGTGCCCACCATAACACCCCGCTATTTTTTTGTTGCAGTTTGGCTGGGGCCGGGTTTGAACCCGCCACCCTTGGTATATGGGGCCAGCACTCTACCCACTAAGCCACAGGGGCTGCCCAGTTCCTAAGATGTATTAATGTTGAATTGTAACCCACATCTTGTGAGGCTGATAGTTAATATTTTACTCACTTACTTCATAAACTTAAAGTATATTTCTGAATATATTTATGATTCAAAGCTCAAAAAATATTAAAAGGTAGGACCAGGCATAGTGGCTCACACCCGTAATCCTAGCACTTTGGGAGGCTGAGGCAGGTGGATTGCTGAGCTCAGGAGTTTGAGAGTAGCCTGAGCAAAAGGGAGACCCCTGTCTCTACTAAAAATAGAAAAACTGAGGCAAGAGGATCACTTGAGCCCAAGAGTTGGAGGTTGCTATGAGCTATGATGCAATGATACTCTATCCAGGGCAACAGTTTGAGACTCTATCTCAAAAAAAAATACATATATATGTATACATATATATATATATAAAGGTCTGCAGCATAAAGCCTCCCTTCCCTCCTTGTCTCCTGTCTCCTAGATCCCACTCCTTCCCTAATTGGCAATCACTGTTCTAGGTTTCTTATTAATGTTTCCAGAGCTTCTGACTATTTTTTTCCTTGTATGATATATATATATATATTGCTTCACACTTTGCTTTCTTTAAAACTTAATTAAGGGCTCGGTGCCTGTGGCTCAAGTTCTAAGACACCAGCCCTGTACGAGCTGGCGGGTTTAAATTCAGCCTGGAGCCGCCAAACCACAGTGATGGCTGCAATCAAAAAAAAATAGCCGACCAACCGCTGTGGCGGGTTCCTGTAGTCTCAGCTACTTGGGAGGCAGAGGCAGGAGACTTGAACCCAGGAGTTGGAGGTTGCTGTGAGATGTGATGCCACCAGCACCCTACCCAGGGCGACCCCTTGAGGCTCTGTCTCAAAAAAAAAAAAAAAACTTAATTAAGTATCATAGCCATCCTTTTTACCAATAGAGTGTTCTTTCTTCCTTGAATCATATAAATTCACCCTGCCTCTTGTTACAGTTTTTGATTTCAATGTTACTTGTTAGATCTGATCTCTTCTCTTTATTTAGGATTATTAGTTGTTTGCATTTCCCCCAGAGCCAAATCATCTATTGCCAGAGGCCTCTGATGGAATCATTTTAAAATAAGTTTGGGAATAAAGAGATGTTAGAAAAAATAAGGGGGGCCCAGCCCGGTGGCTCATGCCTATAATCCCAGCACTTGGGAGACCAAGGCGAGTGGATTGCCTGAGCTCATGAGTTCGAGACCAGCCTGAGCAAGAGCAAGACCCCGACTCTAAAAAATAGACAGGCGTTGTGGCAGCCAGCTGTAGTCCCAGCTACTCGGTAAGGCATGAGAATTGCTTGAGCCGAAGAGTTTGAGGTTGCTGTGAGCTATGACA